TATACAAAATTCAGGACCAAACTGAAGTAAGTAAAATTCCCTAGAAAATTATAAAAGTAAAAGCTCTAAGAGAATCAAAACAGTTAAAAAGAAAGAAAATAAGCCTTTCTACTGCAACAAAATCTCTATAATTTCTTGCTTCAAAGGTTATAAAGATCTTTGTATACTGCATAATTAGTTTTTCCATTGGTATCAAAAATATTACTTGACTTTTATTGTTTATTAAAAGTTAAGTTTTTGAATTAAATGTTTATAAAAAGAAGTAAAGTGTAAAAATAATTTTTGAAGTCATACTTCAAATTGTTTTAATAAAAGTATTAAGATTTTATTAGTAAAAAAGTAAAAAAAATTTTTTGTAACAATCTTTTTTGTGCATAATCAAAGGATTAGTAGAAAAAAAATTTTTTTGATTATATTACTCCTAATAATAAGTTAGGAAAATATAATAAAAATAATAAATTAATCAACTAATAAAGTATTTCTAATTTTTAAATATTAGATAATCCTATAATTTCTTATGGTCAGTACTATCAGGAAGCTTTGATAGAAGAAAAAATTTATAGATCACTCTAAAGAATCAAAATATAAATTTGGGATATTATATTTAACAATTTGATAATTAGCCTATTTTTAATAAAAATATATTGAAAAAAATCAAAGAAGGAATTGTACATCTTTCTAAAAATATAATACTTATATATAAAATAAGATCAATATAACCAATATTATATAAATAAATTACTCAGATAGTTAATATAGTGCTCATTTAATATATTGTATATAAGATATAACCAAAGTAGCCTATTGAATAAAAATAAACAAAAAGATAGATAAAATATATTGTACAGTTATCGAGTAAACTAAATTGAAAGGGAGTAAGTCAAATATAATATAAATAAAGTTAAATAAAAGTTGTAGAATTGTTTTTATTTTTGAACTTTTTTGGTAAACCTTAAATTGTTTCCTTCCTCCAATAATTTTTCCCTTTTCCTTTTTAACTTAGCAATTCATTGGTTTTCAGGTCAATCAATAGTAACAAACTGTGACAATAATTTTGATAGATAGAGATCATAATTAATCTATCAGGAGAGTATAATATTACCTTCAAAATCTGATTAGAGGACTAATATATGAAGATGAGTTAGTCACTTTGTGAAAATTTTATAACTTATTGTAAATTTTATTTTAATTTCTCAATAAAGACATGCCATTGTGGCATGATTGTGGATTAAAAAAAAATATTAATTAATTATTGTTCAAAAATTTTTATTAGAATTCAAATAACTTTGCAACATTTCTTTAATAAGTAAGAAAAAACAAATGATTTTTTTTCTTTATGAACTTTTTTTATAAAATTATCGAATTAGAAATCAAGTTTTTGATCAAAAAGGTTGGACGAACAAATATAGGATAATAGAAATAACTCTTGAAAAGAGTTTTCGAGTTGTTTTAAAGAAGAAGTTGAAAATTTATTTATATAGAAGTTACAAAACTTTTTCTGAATATCATTTTTGAACGTGACGAAAAGAATAATGAAAAGAATTTTCTATTACAAAGTTTATAATAAAAACATAATAAGCGGTATTAAAAAAAATTATGTCATTTATACTGTATATGGGTCGAAGGCGGACGGAGATTTATCGAACTCTATAATTGCGATCTTAAATTTACACTATCTACGCATTATTCAAACTGGGGGCCGAAAAACCATATTTGGTATTTTGTTCGCCTTCAAGAATAATTGCCCACTTACCGTATACTAACTAGCTTCAAAATTTGCAAAGGTTACTAAATTTATAAAAGTCACAAGGTTATAAAATTTTAAAATTCCGACAACTTGTTCGATCTTTAATATACTGTATTTTATTCACGTATTAAAATTTCAAACAATTTATTTGGATTTCATAAACGCAACAGGGAAATGATTTTTACATTTTGAAAAACCGACATCTTCACAAGTCTTTATTCTCAATTGATCATTTCGGGTTAATGTTAATAATCATAACTACTGCGATAGTGACGAAAACAGATGAAGCAGAAATAATATTAAACCGCGGTTGGTTTGTCTATCTAGTGTGGCGATGCTTATAAGCGGGCTTAAACGATTCGTGTGGCTGAATATTAAATGGCACAAGATATTTATCGTGGCTTATTAAAGGAAAGATTTGTATCACGTAATTTCGGAACTAAAAAGATGATACGCATAAACTATGTATAAAGACAATAATTTCCTTGTGTTCCAATGAAAAGTTCGTGATTAGTCTCATGATATATGTTCAGCGAGTGGCTTACGTAATGCTGAGGATTGAATGTTGGTGTTTTCAATATTAAGCCTTTCAACGAGAAATAGTGTTAAAAAAAGAAAACTGCTAATTAAAACGAGTAGAAACAGGGAGAGCGTGAAACGTATAAATGTAATTGGCTACGTAGCGTGAAGCACCATGCCACGCGCAAAAACATCCCTGCCACTGATAAATCTCCTGATGCTCTTTTTATTGCTATTTCTCGAAAAACCAAATTTTTGCTGACTTGTCTCGCTCAATTTTCAGCCTGAACAAATTACCCGACTTTTAAAATTAATAAAAAATCACCAAGATATAGCGAGACATTGTTCGGTTATATAAATCAAGAGCAATTAGAGTCAATTTCTGCTAAAGAGGATGAAATTAACGAAATTTATCTTAATATCAACATTATTTGTTGGTTTTTTTATTTTTAACAATCAAGCATTACCGACTTATAAAAGATCAGCAGAATGTGTAAAGTGTCCATCTTATGTGCCTACTAGTCCACTGGAATCGGAATCCACCTTATTGACAGAATGCCTTGCCTACGTAAAAGGCACCATCGTTTACCGTAATGATGTTGAATATTATGAAAGCATTAAAGATTGTAATTGTAGAATTATTTATTACCCGATAGCAATCGTTTATATAACGGATGTTTCGGACATTCAGGAAGTCGTGAACTGCGGGAATACATTGGGAATTCCCGTGGTAGCGCGGTCAGGTGGGCATTCGTTTGAGGATTATAGTTTAGGTGGAAGAGATGGGGTGCTGGTGGTGGACTTGAAGAACCTGGACCAGATCACCATCGATGCTAGCGCGCACACGGCCGTTATCGGGACGGGAAATAGGATTGGAAAAATTTACTATACCTTGAATGAGGCGGGATTCTTGATTGCTGCGGGTAGCTGCCCCAGTGTTGGTATTGGAGGTCAATCTACTGGTGGTGTACGTGTCCTCAAACCTATACATTTGACATTTTTACTGCGCATTTACTAACATATTTGACATCGTACAATAGGGATACGGATTCATCGGTCCAAAATACGGGATGGCCTCGGATAACATTTTATCTGCAGAAATGGTATTGGCCAATGGGACCTTCCTCTCGCCCATAAACAACTCCAGCTATTCTGACCTTTATTTCGCAATCAGGGGTGCCGGAAATGCTGGTTTTGGAATTTTAACCTCCTTGACATTTCAACTTTACCTTACACCTCCCAAACTCACCACGTTCGACTTATCCTACAATATCAACGATCGTCAATTGGTATTTGAAGCCTATAACAAGTGGGGTCCCTTACTTGCTGAAAACTATTCATTATACATGACATTTCTGCCGGATGAGCTGAGCATACCTAATGCATGCGAATCTACGGAGGAATATAAATTATTTGGATTTGGTACATTTCTGGGAGACGAAGAGAATGCGCGTAAAGGACTCAATAATTTTCTTACACACGCTGCACCAGCTATAGATCCCGTGTTCAATGAATCGACGTGGTGGGATACAATTGTTAGTTTTGCGGGCAGTGGAAATGCCACCGCGGTCATCTCCCCTAGTTTTGATCCGGAACCGTTCAAAGTCAAGTCATTCTTCATCGATCCACCCGGTCTATCGGCCGAAGGGTTGGAAGCTCTTTATGAATTTGTAAATTCGATAAACTGCAAAACCATCGTGATGTTTGAATTGTATGGCGGTGGAATAATAAATAGCATAGATGCAGGTCTAACCGCTTTCATGCACAGACATTCACTGTATCTGTTGCAGCTGGAGATGAAATTCAAAGGAATCCAAGATCAAGCAGTAATTGATGAGTGTTTATCGGAGTTTAAGGTATTTGCGGAAGAGTTTCAGGACAAGTACTCATCCTATTACAGCTATCAGAATTATATGGATAGTGAATTGGTAGATTGGGAACATCGATATTATGGGGGGCACTTTGAACGGTTGGTGAAGATCAAAGCCAAGTATGATCCGAATGATTTGTTTAATTGGGCGCAGAGTATTCCTACGAGTTATGAGTAAGAATCGCATAGAAACCAAGTCATTGGTAATGTGAAAAGGAGCTTTCTTGATAAATCCCGCAAATATTGCCACATAGACAAAAAATTAATAAATGATTTTTGTCTCGAATTACAGTATACTTAACAAATAACCTTATATGTTGCACAATTTAATTATACAAACCGCAAATAGGGATTCAATTTTTCATGTTTGCACTTAATCGACGCGAAGGTTTGTAAGAATTAATATTGGATGTTATAGATAGTACTTGGAACGTTTAGATATTACATACTTCGATACTATATTTCGACATACTGTAGCTTTATTTAACTTAAAAAAAAAAATTTTTTTTTGAATTCATTATCTTATTTATTAATAAATAAATAGTTTATAATTCATGAAATGAATTTTATAAAATTTATGATTTTTTTTTATTAAATAAATATTTCTTGTTTTTGACAATAAAATGGCATGGAATAAAAAATCTCTTTTTTATATTTATCAATTATTTTAAGGACAATTTAATTTAAAAAAAAATTATTTTTATTGACAAATAAAAATAAATTATTTAATAAATTTCTTTAAACAGATGGTGATTATCAAAATAGATTTCTTACATATTTTAAATTTTAAATAATTCAAAAAAAAAAAAAAAAAGGATTATTTTAAATCAAATAATATCAATAGTAATAATAATGATAATTAAATTTACAAAAAAAAAAAAAGATTTAATAAAATTGGTCAAGATTTTTTATTATGCGGTAATCCAAAAAAAAAAAAAAAAAAAAAAAAAAATTTTATTTTTCTTTGAAAAATAATTTTATTATATCGTTGTTTCGGTTGGGCTATATATTAAAATGTATTACTGCATATTATAAAAATTAAAAATTAAAGATATACACTATATATTTACAATTAATGAAATAGGAAACGTTGTAAGATAATAGTAAATTGTTATTCTAAGTTAATTATTTTTATAATTAAACAAATTACAAAATATTATAAAAATATTAATAAAGTTTTAATAATCATAAAATTTAATAATAATATATGTAATTTTTATTATTTACTATAAAAAAAAAGATAAGATCTTATTATTATGTTAGATTTCATGTAATTTTAATTAAGTTTGTTAGTAGCTTATTTAACATTATACGTATATATTTACAAGTGAAAAAAGGTCAAGGTACAAAATTCCGTTTCCTAATTTTTTTTTCTTTTTTTTTTTTTTTCAAAGAAGTACCACCAATACATGAAAAGAAAAGGACAGTGAGTTCGTTCATGACCTGCATGGTTTTGTCATCTTTTGGTTGCGTTTTACGACATGGTTGGCACGTAATTTTGTGTTGAAATTAAGCGAAAGAAAATATTATCATTAATAAAATATTAAATTATTCAAGGTTTTAGAAATTAAATTATTGAAAAGGATTCAAGAGCCTGAGTCAATTGTTCGGACTCCAATAAGTCAAACATGGGGTTATCAATGTCTTGGGAGATCATGTTACAATCGCTACGACCGTCTGCGGCTGCAAAGAAAGATTCGAAGATAGCATCAAACTCTTCCGGTGATAATATTTGATCATCGGAGGGAGAGACGTCGAATTCAAGAGGTGGCGGGTAATGTGAAAATTCATAATTGTTGATTAACGTCATAGTGTTTATAGTGTTTGCATGGGAGTTTATGAATGAATCATGAGGCACGAATTCGATGCCCTCTTGTTCGCCGTGATTTATCAGGTTCTGAAGTGACACCGACAATTCTTGCGATAGGTTGTCTTCAGGTGAAAAACTACTAAAGCTGTAATCGCTGCTTTCAGACGATGTCGATTTTTCTGTTATTGAAGAGGATAGTGATGAGGTCGTCGACATGTTAGATGTTGAGATTATGTTATTGATGGAGTTAAAGTTGTCAACAGTTTCTGCTTTGATGACGCAAGACATTGTCTAGGAGTGGAAGCTACAAGATCAGGGAAATCCTTCTCTTTGGTGAATTTGCTGTATTTTCTTTCTGCTAATTTAATATTGAAAGGCGTTTAATTCTCATTAAAACTTGCAAGAGAAAATTGATCTCTCTTTTTTAAAAGAACAAGTGGTGTCAAATAAGGAAAGGAATTGTCGTTATATTATTGTTTAATTTTCTACAATAACGAGAAGAATATGTCAAACGCAACAAGGAAGCACATAACTTTTTTTTGTGTGTGCTTTTATATTTACATATGCACGTACGAAAAATTCCTACGCCCATGCCAGTGCCATAACAAATAAAGATATTTGGCTGGAGGTCACATGATAGCAAAGAAATGACTTTTATGGAAATAGTATGTTACTAAATTTAGGGGATTGCGGAGTACAGCACGTAGATTCTGAAACATAAAGACATCCATTGCTTTCTACACCACGTAATACCCGTACAACGACGGAAAAACTTGTCAAGGTCTTCAATTCAACTGTTCGTTAAGACTCATAGTAGCCTGAATTTCCGAGACCGGAGTTCTAGACCGGATTTCTTTTTCAAATCAATCCTAGTACGTATACTGTAGGAGTTTTGGTTGCGATTTTTTGTACTACAAGCCCTATTTTAAACGCAGAATAATTTAAAAAAGAGAAGCAATTGTCCGTTATACAGTAAATAACAAGATTAAGCTGCTTTGTACTACTGTAAATTTTGATTGTGTGATGCGTAAAGGAATCGGACTCTAAAAGGCCTTCCCGAAAAATATCAGTACTGCGATTTAGACCAGAAAGTGTATCAATTGTTCATTCAGGAAACAGATAAATGCGCGGATTAATAAAAATATGCTGTTGGTCAATCTAACGAATCCTTTTCTGTGGGAAACTTATCGACGCTATTATTACTATCTTTAGTATTTTAGCCGTATTTAGAATTATTATGACGAAATAGGATCCAATAGCCCAATACTAACACTAATATAGTCGTAGCGGCGGTAAAGAGTGTGTCGGCTCATTCTCAATAACGCACCAATGTGTCCATACTGACTCGAATTTTTATCTTTTCAGATCTGCACTCAATTTTCTGTAATTAACACCGATCCGTGGGCGTACGGCTAATGGAAAACCTTTTCTTTTCGCATTTAATTGATAAAAATTACGCGCAATATTGAAAAAAATACTTTTTATGGTAATATTGATTGATTGAATCTAACTTTGGCTAGTTGATTTGTCCAAAAATTGTTTCGAGATTGATAATCAAAGTAATCGGGACGTTGTCTGACGATATCATTTTAATAAATTTATTTAACCAATTACGCAATATTTTAAAGCAATAAATATATTATATCATCATATTCAATTAACTAATTCCTAAAAAAAGATTTTTTTTTTTTTTTTTTTTTTTGCTTATTAATTTTAATTTTTAGCAACCTGCAATTTGAAATATCTTATTTTTATATGATTAAATTAAATATAATAAATAAAAAAATCAATAAAACCATATATATTGGAATTATTATAAATTAGAATTTTTATAATCATAATAAAATATGGATAATAAAAATAAAATAATTTAATTATTCTATTAAATTTATAATAAATAATATAAATAATGCTTTTGAAAAAAAATTATTTTATCATTTTTATTTATAAACAAAAAATTTATTAATTAATCATTGTAAACTTAAAAATAATTGATTTTGAAAAAAATATAAAATTAATTAATTAAAATATTTAAAAAAAATTTTTTTTAATTTTTTTTTTCGGGTGAAAGGTGCTAATAGCACATGTTTATTAAGTAATTAAATCCATTACATGACTATAACGATCCATCTAAGTTAACCTGTCCCTATCACCTATAGCTTTATCCGATTATACCAACTTACACCCAGTAGGTGGGTCCACATTCCAGGTTGGGTCTTTAAGAGGTGGAAATCTTACCACTAGTTTTAAACCACCTAACCTAATCTAGACCCTGGCATTCTACCCCTTACTAGGACCCACGATAACCTTCT